AGCAGTATTGTAGTTATATATCACACCGTTGTCTGCAGTATTGTAGCTATATATCACACCGTTGTCTGCAGTATTGTAGCTATATATCACACCGTTGTCTGCAGTATTGTAGCTATATATCACACCGTTGTCTGCAGTATTGTAACTATATATCACACCGTTGTCTGCAGTATTGTAGCTATATATCACACCGTTGTCTGCAGTATTGTAGCTGTATATCACACCGTTGTCTGCAGTATTGTAGCTATATATCACACCGTTGTCTGTAGTATTGTAGCTATATATCACACCGTTGTCAGCAGTATTGTAGTTATATATCACACCGTTGTCTGCAGTATTGTAGTAATATATCACACCGTTGTCTGCAGTATTGTAGCTATATATCACACCGTTGTCTGCAGTATTGTAGCTATATATCACACCGTTGTCTGTAGTATTGTAGCTATATATCACACCGTTGTCTGCAGTATTGTAGCTATATATCACACCGTTGTCAGCAGTATTGTACATTTGTAGTTATATATCACGACGTTGCGCCGATAGATCATCTGTATCATATATGTATCGTAGTTAGGTACTTCGAATGCTTATCTTTGACGTTTTGTAATGTAGTTTCTTCTGTTATATATATATATATGTATATATTTACAAACGAAGATTGCTTACAAAGTCTAGTATTGACGGACAGTCACCTGCTAACTGGTCCTAGAATTATTTTTTTCTCGTTCATTCGATTTCCGACTTATATTGATTGATTTTATGAGCGATTCGAGAAATTGACTTTTTCGTATTTTCAACCACTTTATACAGTGTCTGTCTGTCGGTCTGTCTGTCTGTTGTTTAATGCCGCACGGCAATATTCCAGCTAGATGACGGCGGGCTGTAAATAATCGAGTCTGGACTAGACAATCCGGTGATTGAACCTTGTGAACAACGATGCTCACCGTGGAGTACGATGTCAACCAAGTAACCGACACCCGATCCAGCCTCTTTCAACCAGCATAAATTGGACCTTATAAATACAGTTATATAATTATAATAGTGAACATATATATCCTTCTCTTTTTTTAGTTTCTGTAAATTAGAATTTAAACAAAATACGCACTTAGGTGAATCGAATAACATCAATTTAATTTGTCCTCTTTTCGAACTCAAGTGAGGTATGGTGAAATGGGGATTAACGTCGCGTTCATGATTATATAGCCATGTATATGCACGTGTGTGTGTGTGTGTGTGTGTGTGTGTGTGTGTGTGTGTGTGTGTGTGTGTGTGTGTGTGTGTGTGTGTGTGTGTGTTGTCACCAGCCACCTGAACCAGAACATTCGTCACCACTCGCCCCTTTCCGTAACCTGCAAGAAGCTATTCGGCTTGATTCGTGAGTAACTCGTGTTATTCCGGGACAAGCCGAATATGTCTTCTTGCAGGTTACGGAAAGAGGCGTGTGGTGAAGAATGATTCGCCTGTCCCGGAATAACACGAGTTGGTCACGAATGGAACCAGAAGTGTACATCTAAAGGGCAATAACTCTGTCTTTCAAATGCTAAAGAAGGGCAGTAAAATATCCATGTTTATGTAGTGAGTGAGTATGGTTTTACGCTGCTTTTAGCAATATTCCAGCAATTTTGCTGCGGGGGAAACAGAAATGCGCTTCATGGGTGTTGATATTCTGAAGATTGCTACTGGCAACGGAAATATGGGTTGAAAGAGAAATGGACAGCGTTATTGTCGAACTTGGCCTGACGAATTGACCAGATACAGAAACCGCATCAGAAGGTGAAGACAAGTGCTATAATTATCCATTTATATCAACTCAGCTAGCATATACAACGTTCACAGTATGCCGAAACTCCATAACCAATCACATGGGATCTAGTAAGGAGTTTGTCATTGCGTCAACTATGACTACGTTAAGATCTCAATCTTCACAAGCATTTCAGGGGCACGGCTGGCCCAGTCGTCTAGAGCGCCGCGATTCGCTGTGCAGAGTTGCGGCCTTTTGGGCACGCCAGAAACCTATGATTGTGGGGTCTATTCCCGGTTCGCCTCGATTATGTTTCTAGGTTTGTCAACACCATACCCGTGCTCGTGGGTTTCACAAAAGTGGTAAACATCTGAGACCTGCATCACTTCGGGCTTTCCTCCCACATTAAGCTGACACGCCGCGATATAACTGTAATACTGTTAAAAGCGGCGTTAAACCCAACTCAACTCAACTCCACCTATCCTGGCTTACCAGTAATGGAGGTAGGTAGCTGTCAAGGTTACTACCAAGACTCGATATTGTACGAGCGCCTCAATCAATTTGCTGCCACTATAAAATCATCAAAAATATGTTTACAATAAATACTGTCACATACCAGCAGTATGTAATGTATGGATGGAGTTGGTGTATGTTCTTGAAGTGTTGCTGGGCAGGATTTCATGGTAAATATGCAAATGAGGTGGCCTAGCAGGAACTATTTTCAAGCTCCACATATATAGAGATATAAATATTATATGAGTGACCGTGTGCGAAATACGCATCACAAGGAAAGCGCACGTTAAATCTCCAAAGTAAGTAAGTAAGTATGTGAGTGTTCATGTCATACTATATTTACGACACGAGTGTCTAAACAGGTGAGGTGAAATTGGGTTTAACGTCGCGTTCTAGATTATTGCACTTATATAGCGACGTGCATGTACGTGTATGTGTGTTTGTGTGGCTGCTTGTACTAGTCCGGACTGATGCCGATTTATAGTGCTAGCCCACTGAGATACCATGCCGCAGTTTAACATGAATAATTTGTCGAATGACGTCACAATCTTCAGCTATGACGTCGTTTCTAGTGTGACGTCATTCCGACCTCACGTCAAAATAACATTCGAATGATGTCAACAATGCCGTCCGGATGATGGAAACAATACACTGTTGTCTCGTGACGTGATATGACCCTAGGGCACATATGATTATTATGAACTCTGATATGTTTTCTCTTGCGGGGAATATATCCTGAATATCGCCGACCGCAGCCTAAACGACTAAACTCACAAGGGACCTGTGAAGATCCGGGATAGAATAGGTCTTTAGCGATCCATGCTTGCCTTAAAAGGCGACTGTGCTTGTCGTAAGAGGTGACTATCGGTGTCGGGTGTCACGCCGTGATATAACTGGAATACTGTTAAAAGCGGCGTTAAACCCAACACACTCACTCACTCACTCTAAATACAAGGGCTTCCTATAAAGAAACATATAGGTGACAAAACCCGGTGTATGACAAGCATGAGGTTACGAGAGCCCATTCTAAACTAGAAGGGGCGGTCGGGTAGCGTAGTGTTTTAAGCGTTCGCTCGTCACGCCGAAGACCCGGCTTCGATTCCCGATATGGGTACAATGCGTGAAGCCTATTTCTAGTGTCCCCCGCCGTGATATTGCTGGAATATTGCTTAAAGCGGCGTAAAATCATACTCCCTCACTCATTCACGCTAAACTAGGAATGTGGCGTGTTTTGGCAATCAGCCAAATCACAGAATGTGTCCATCAAATTCCCGTTCTGTTCGCTCTGATATGAGAAGCATGAGTCATTGTGTGACACCCTGCCCCGAGGGCGTGGTACGTTGCTCATTATATCAATCACTGGTTTGTCTGGTCCAGACTCTATCATTTACACACAGTCCCCATACAGATGGAAATTGCGCTGAGTGCAGCGTTAAAAGGGAAACGGGACGACCCTATATATACTTGTAGTGATACACGATGTAGTGACTGCTGGGCTCCGGTAAGTGCAGCTGTACCTGTATTAATACGAAATACGGGGGCACGGGTGGCCCAGTTGTCTAAGGCGCAGAGTTGCGTCCCTTGAACACGCAAGAAACCTATGGTGAGGTGAGGTGAAATTGGGTTTAACGTCGCGTCCAAGATTATTGCACTTATATAGCGACGTGCATGCACGTGTGTGTGTGTGGCTGCTTGTACTAGTCGGGACTGATGCCGATTTATAGTGCTAGCTCACAGAGATACCATGCCGCAGTTTAACATGAATACCCCACTCAGACACAGTATACTGTCTCCGAGCCGACCAGTCCTTGTTTTAGCCCCTTAATGCCGAGCAGGGTAACAACAGGGTAACAATAAGTACCATCTTTTAACGTATTTTGGTATGACGCGGCAGGGGATCGAACTCCGGACCTTCCGCTCTCCGGGCGGACGCTCTACCACTAGATCCCGGAGGCGGTCCCAGAAACCTATGATTGTGGGTTCGAATCCCGGTACGCCCCGATTATGTTTCTAGGTTTGTCAACACCATACCCGTGCTCGTGGGTTTCACCGAAGTGGTAAACGTCTGAGACCTGCATCACTTCGGGCTTTCCTCCCACATTAAGCTGACACGCCGCGATATAACTGTAATATTGTTAAAAGCGGCGTTAAACCCCACTCACTCACTCATTTGATCACGCCGAAGACCCGGGTTCGATTCCCCATCGAAGCCCATTTCTGGAGTCCCCGTCATGATATTGCTGGATTATTGCTAAACGCGGCGTTAACTCAGTCACCTCGATGCTCGGATTTGAAACTTTCCCAACATTGGTATATATAATTATATAAAGCCCATTCTTGGCTTCATCCGACCTATTACATAAATATTGCTAAAAGCGGAATAAAACCTCACACATATTCTGGCGAGGATACCGACCGAATGTTATTTATAAAAAAAAGAAAACATTCAATAGAATAAATGTGTAACATTTGAAATTTTGACCTAGCTCTCGTTGCGCTCAAATAACTCCTTCATAACACTCACTGGCAATATGTGTTGAATATTTCATATCTTGTGCACATTATAAAAATACATGCGAATAATCATCAATTTACGTTTCAGGCGAGATTTATGGAATCGGAGCTCATTGCCAAGCGCGGTTTCTCGACTTTTGAACCCAATGACCCCGAAATTCCTTGACGTCAAAGGAGTTCCCCGGGTGCGGAAACGAGGCTAATACATATTCATGATGTGTTTCTAAAGAAAATGGCGGCCTCCAGAGAAAGATGTCGTCCCGTGTTACGAATTTTGAGATAATGGAACTATGGCTAGCAAAACAAAGAACAAAGGATTACACAAAGATGGCAGTCGCTCAAAAGAAGGCTTATCTTCTAAAAAGGACGGTATGTGTTGTTGAGGACATGCTTGTTCCCGCGCAAACGATCAGCTCCGGTTCTTGGTGACCCATTTCCATCTCACCTGTCAACTGAGCTGAAATTCCAACTAGATTTGAATAATTGCCGATCGCAATTCCAATCATTCGTTGTTTCCCACTAATACACGAGCCTTGTTAACTACGAGGGGTGATAATTTGCTTCTCTATTGTTTAGATCGCCACGGTACACTTCGCGAATCCGTGATAAACAAGTCCTCTTTAACGAAGAACGTGAAGACTTGTGCACTTTGTTGTTGTACCAGGTGAACTGAATGTTTTTAACCAAGGTAGCATTTTGGCATAATTCCGGGAAAGTGAGATATACGAAGTCTCATGATCCTAGCGCATCACACCTGAGGTCAGTGACCTTGTATATAAACACTCCATGGCTCAACAACGATTAGCTGTCATGCCTAGTGATTAGGAAAAACTGTCACAGATCACTTTTAGATTTTAGGCTAGATGTCTGAAAAGGGGAAGTTTGTTCAGGAAGACATGTTAACATTTAAAATAAGAAGGAAAAGTTTAACTAAAATGATAATACACTTACCCCATGGTTAGGATTTTTGTTTTAGCAAGTGAGTCATTGCGAGACAGTTTTGATGTACATGTACTTCTGGTCTTGACAGTCATAGACAATATGACATCACTTGTAAAGGATATATGAGCCAAGTTTGAATATTACCAGCCAATGCTTGACACAATATCATTGTCAAATATGGTTTGATGTGCACAAACTGGCATTGTTTAAAATGTATTTATAGAGGTTAGATACATTACCAGTAGGGCTGGGATGAGTCCAAATTTACTACCCGGGTACCCATCCCCCTATTTCCCGACCCTACCCGAGTACCCGCTGTAGGTCTCAAGAGCTAGGTACAAAATGTCTGATAGGGAATAGTTTGACCGACATATAAAATGATACATACACTGAAGTTTTATCTTTATTCAAACATATAAATGTCAGAAGGAATGGGTGCATAACCAGAAAGAAATGCGAAAATTAGTAATTTGTAGTGTAACCATATATCGTATTCGACGTAATAAGCGCCCCCCTCTAATAAGCGCCCACGGTGAGATTTGCTGATATATTGGCTAGTGAACAATCCCACATTAGCACCCCCTCCGACCCCTATTCGCATATAATACGCACCGCTTCCTTCCCCTATTCGCGTATAATACGCACTCGTGTGTTATATGCACCCGTTATTATTGGCAATTAAATTCTGGAAACATATGTCTGTCGTACATAACATTTTAGGCTGTCAGCATAAACCACGAAATTTATCTTTCAACTCTGTTTTTTTTCACCAAAATAATATTCTAATAAGAGCCCCCTATTTCTAATTTTGAGAGCGCCCTGGGCACTTATTACGTCGAATACGGTAGTTCCAGATCATTTTTGTCATTAAACAATATATCACATATGGCATGTTGTTATGCCTGTAATTAAGGGTGAGAATATTCAGTCTAATATTGACATCAATCAATCAGTTATCCGTGACATTTCAGTTAAGAGCTCAGTTCTTTCATTTGACAGAGTACATGTGAATATCGGGGGTAGAATAGGTCTTCAGCAACCCATGCTTGTCGTAAAAGGCGACTATGCTTTTTGTAAGAGGCTGCTAACGGGATCGGGTGGTCAGGCACGCTGACTTAGTTGATGCATGTCATCGTATCCCAATTGTGTGGATTGATGCTCATGATGTCAATCACTGGATTGTCTGGTCCAGACTCGATTATTTACAGACCGCTGCATCAATCCACGCATTTGGGATCGATGACGTGCATCAACCAAGTCAGCGAGCCTGACAACCCGATCCCGTTTGTCGCCTTTTACGACAAGCATGGGTTGCTGAAGATCTATTCTACCCCGGATATTCACGGGTATATGCCAGGCACCATGTCTGTAGTAAACATCATTAAAAAATCCTAAATTGGAAATGAAAATTTCCCAATTCATGTTCACATATATATAACTAATTTTGTAAATGTGATTTTTAAGAGTTCTTTTTGTTTTGAATTCAGAGGTATTTTTACATTGTATTTTTATATTGGGATTATCTAGGATTTCATTCTAAGTGCTCCTGGTTGACAAAGTGAGAAAAAGAAAATTTGTTCTCTAAAATAGGATTTTTCAGAGAACTTATTTTTCTTATCTTGATAGGTATTATATTGCATTACAACACTGCTTTCAATACGATAATGTAAAATTGGGTCTCTTTCTCCTTGTTGTCAGTGGAATAATAAACAACTTGACCAAGCCATCACATTAGTTATACTGTATTTACATGAAATAGAACTTTTTATTCCCGTTTTGGAAGTTTTACTGGCGATTGCTGCAGACTTGGGGCCGAATATTGGCCTCTGAGCCAGTCTAGAAAGATCCTTGCTTCATTTTGGTGATAGATTCATTTATAATATGTTGCAAGAAGATTCTGATTCCTGACAGTTCAAGTTGTGTATTTAACATATAATCTTGTTTGTTATATAACGCTGCACTCCGCAATATGATGGTGGTCTGTAAATAATTGTCTTGACCAGACAATCAAGTGATTGATATTATGAGCATCTACCTACACAATAGGGATACGATGGCATGCATCAACCAAGTCATCGAGCCTGACCACCCGATCTTGTTAGCTGCCTATTACAACAATCATGGGTTGCTGAAGACCAATCCTCACCTGGATCTTCACAAACATGTAAGACCCGTGAAGATCCCGGGTAGAATAGGTCTTCAGCAACCCATGCTTGCCGTAAAAGGCGACTTTGCTTGTCGTAAGAAGCGGGTGGTCAGGCTCGCTGACTTGGTTGATGCATGTCATCGTATCCCAATTGCATGGATCGATGCTCATGATGTCAATCACTGGATTGTCTGGTCCAGGCTCGATTATTTACAGACCGCCGTCATACAGCTAGAATATTGCCGAGTGCGCCGTAAAACAACAAACCAACCAATCACAAACATATAATCCTACCAGTAGGTTCTTTAGACCCCAGTCTCATTAAAATCAGACCTTAGTTTTGCTATCACTAAACAAAGATTTGAGGACATCCCATTATGGGACACATCAGAACGACCTTTCTTCCGACCAATCAAAGCGTCGCTTACCAGATCGTGAAAGTGACAGTTGGTATGTGTTTTCTAATTATGCAACCTCGAAAACGTTAACACAAGGTATTCCGAACGACTGTTACGGTTCGTACGACTTATTCCATCAAAATTATCGTCTGTCTCACGCTTCTGTTGGGATAAACATTTGAACGGAGGCGTTGCACAGTACGTGGGGAGCACTGCCATACAATCTCAACCACATATTAGACATTCTGGAATGTTCGTTTGTTCAGTTTTTAAAATCTTAATCGAGAACTGTGTCAACATATTTTTCAAGCGTAGTCTGAAATGGAAGTCGCCAGGTTGAAACAAATGCCATGAATCTTGAGAAAGCTGCTTTCTAATTGGCTGATGTTGACTTCTTGTTAGTTATTTCAGTGGTCGGTTAAAGTTCCCGAAAGGTTCTTCTGACATGACCTGTAATGGGATGTCCTCAGATCTTTGTTTAGCAGCAACGAAAACTAAGATCTGATTTTAAGGAGATTGTCTCGACCTGTGACAATACGGGGTAGAATAGGTCTTCAGCAAACCATGCTTCTCGTGAGAGGCGACTAACAGGATCGGGTGGTCAGGCTCGCTGACTTGGTTGATATAGCTGGAATATTGCTGATTGTGGCGTTAAACAAACAAACAAACAAACAAACAAACATTTGGCCATCTCACTCACTCAGACTGATTCCTCATACAGCAGAATGACATAATTTCTTTTAGCATTGTGTAGTCAAGATAGTTTTATATTTCTAGTGGATGATTAGTAATCAGTTATCACTTGACAGTCATTTATTGTTCTATCATGATTTCTAAATGAAATATTGTTCATATAATTATAACATGTTTACAGCATTATTTCTCTGAATCATTCTAGTTACTTTTGGGTAACAGGAAGAACGCTCATAACAATGAGAACAAAAGCAAAATTACTATACCAGGGTTAGAACAAAACACAAGACTGCTGACCCGTGATGATCCGGGGTAGAATAGGTCTTCAGCAACCCATGTTTGCCGTAAAAGCTAACTATGCATGTCCTTAGTGGCGACTAACGCGATCGGGTGGTCAGACTTGGTTACTTGGTTGATGCATGTCAACGATCCCAATTACGTGGATCCATGCTCATGATTTCACTCACTGGATTGTCTGGTCTAGACTCAATTATTTATAGACCGCCATCATATATAGCTGGAATACTGCTTAGTGCGGCGTTAAAAAACCAACCAACCATATGACAAAGTTGAACCAATCAACTCAACTCGAAAGGTTGCACGGGAATCACGCACGCACGAATACGGTGTTAGCGTTGGGCGTCTCAACGTGCGTGATTCCCGTGCAACCTTTCGAGTTGAGTTGATTGGTTCAACTGTGTCATATGGCCCTGTGACGCTGGGGTAGCATTATGCAGATGGCTGTTTCAATGAATGCTCGTTCCACCCGTGACAAACAGGTGTGGTTGTTGATGAAATATAGTGATAGCTAAATAGACAGATTTTTTATTCATGCACCGATTGTCTCTAAATGTAATATCCAGTTATGTATGACTGTTTAATAATCTCTAACCAACTTTGACTGGAGTAGGTCCGATAGTTTTTCAGATATTGTAGTAAACGTCGGTACCTTAAATTACCTTCCAGACTATACCTGTTGCTTGATTCCCTGTGCAGAGTTGCGTCCCTTGGGCATGCCAGAAACCTATGATTGTGGGTTCGAATCCCGGTTCGCCTCAATTATGTTTCTAGGTTTGTCAGCACCATAACCGTGCTCGTGGGTTTCACCGAAATGGTAAACGTCTGACACCTGCATCACTTCGAGCTTTCCTCCCACATTAAGCTGACACGCCGAGATATAACTGGACTACTGTTAAAAACGGTGTTAAACCCAACTCACTCACTCACTCATTTTTAACTTTATCTTGCAATAGCCACATGACTTGATACCTGTTGCTTGATGCCTGTTACACTGGACTTTGTTTGCCCTGCAGGATGTAGGGAAGATGGCAGCAGTCCAGTCAGCATGAACGGAGATCTGGAAGATGACCAGCAACTCTGGATCCACGCTCCAGACGACCCCTCCAAGTAAGAAACAACACACGTGTGCCCTAGCAACAGATTTTGTTGTTTTCCCCAGTCGTCACCACTCGCCCCTTTCCGTAACCTGTAGGAAGACTCATCCCCCTATCAATGAATGTTCATTCGTCACCACTCGCCCCTTTCCGTAACCTGTAGGAAGACTCGTCTCCCTATTGATGAATGTTCATTCGTCACTCAGGGTTAGAAACTAACAGTTTTTGTCCACTAGTCCTTATAATGATAACATATAGCAAAACCCTTAAAATGGGCCAATTTCTACTAGTCCTTAGGATACCTTTACTATTGGGCAGTTTGGTAAGGACTACAGGACTAGTGCCAATTTCTAACGCTGTCACTACTCGCCCTTTTCCGTAACCTGCAAGAAGACTCATCCCCCTATCGATGAATGTTCATTCGTCACCACTCGCCCCTTTCCGTTACCTGTAGGAAGACTCATCCCCCTATCAATGAATGTTCATTCGTCACCACTTGCCCCTTTCCGTAACCTGCAGGAAGACTCGTCCCCCTATCAATGAATGTTCATTCGTCACCACTCGCCCCTTTCCGTAACCTGTAGGAAGACTCGTCTCCCTATCGATGAATGTTCATTCGTCACTACTCGCCCCTTTCCATAACTTGCAAGAAGACTCGTCCCCCTATCGGTGAATGTTCATTCGTCACCACTCGCCCCTTTCCGTAACCTGTAGGAAGACTCGTCTCCCTATCGATGAATGTTCATTCGTCACCACTCGCCCCTTTCCGTAACCTGTAGGAAGACTCGTCTCCCTATCGATGAATGTTCATTCGTCACCACTTGCCCCTTTCCGTAACCTGTAGGAAGACTCATCCCCCTATCGATGAATGTTCATTCGTCACCACTCGCCCCTTTCCGTAACCTGTAGGAAGACTCGTCTCCCTATCGATGAATGTTCATTCGTCACTACTCGCCCCTTTCCGTAACCTGCAGGAAGACTCATCCCTCTATCGATTAATGTTCATTGAGATATATATAATATATGGGGAAATATATGTGGACCATTACGCAAGAGTTGACAACTGTTTAGGTATGCCTGTTGGCACTAAGACGGAAAAATTGCAAAATGGCCATGAGAGAGGCACGAGTCGCTATTCGGCTTGTCCCGGAATAAGACAAGTTGGTCATGAATGTTTTTTTGCCTCTTTCGAACTTCCTTATCTGAAATTGGGGGGAAAGAATAAAATTGAAAATACTTTTTGGTTGTATTTGGTCGAAATAGTTATGTTTTCCAGATTTTGTATTTTTCCTTCTTTAAAGCTGTCTGTTCTGAGAGAGGTATGTCAACCGTTGCATTGGAAATGTTGCATAATAGTTCCTGAGCTCATGCCTCCTTGGGGGTGGTAGGGTAGCCTAGTGGTTAAAGCGTTGGCTCGTCACGCCGAGGACCAAGGTTTGATTCCCGACATGGGTACATAGTGTGAAGCCCATTTCTGGTGTCCCCCACTGTGATATTGCTGGAATATTGCTTAAACTAAAGCGGCCTAAAACCAAATTCACTCACTCACTCACTCACTCACTCACTCACTCACTCACTCACTCACTCACTCATTCACTCACTCACTCACTCACTCACTCACTCACTCACTCACTCACTCACTCACTCACTCACTCACTCACTCACTCACTCAGACTGTGTCTCTTAACTATGAGACCTTTGAAGATCCGGGGTAGAATAGGTCTTCAGCAACCCATGCTTGCCGTAAAAGCCGACTATGCTTGTAGTAAGAGGCGACTAATGGGATCGGATGGTCAGGCTCGCTGATTTGGTTAATGCATGTCATCAATCCCAATTGCTTGGATCGATGTTCATGATGTCAATCACTGGATTGTCTGGTCCAGACTCGATTATTTACAGACCGCCATCATATAGCTGAAATATTGCTGAGTGCCCCGTTAAACAACAAACAAACAAACAAAACAAACTCTTAACTATGAACATTAAGTCTCTCAGCCTAACAACCAGTGACATTTGTGTTGTCAGCATGGAGAAGGATCGGAAACGTCTCAGCCACAATGTCCTGGAGAGACGTCGCAAAGACAAGATCAAGCGCTGGGTGGTGGCAATCAAAGACCTTCTGCCTAAGTTCAGCCTGGGCATGGAGAAGTTGGTATGTAATCTTGTAGTTATCATTGGGGTGAGACGATTCACCGGTACATTGATTCATCGTGATAGGTTAACCGTAGGGCTGTTACGATTCACTCGCTTATTTGGTGAATCAAACCGTATCCATTCATGAATTGAATTCGTTATTCAACGATCTTATCCAATGAAGCACCTGTGTTTCCATGGTTACAGAGTCATGGGGACATCATGGAGAAGGCATGCACATACATCAAGGAGTTGCAGGACAAGAATGACAAGTTGCTGCAGGACTGTGGCGGAGAAGTGCAAGGTAGGGTCGGATGCTCATAAACAGCAGTGACTAGGGTTTTTGCTTCAATCTCAAACCAACAACAAGCAAATTCAGTAAAAAGTATTGTGCCAAAACTTTGGAGTTTTGTAAAGATTTTACATTAGGCCACGCCATGCAATGCCATGCCACGCCACACAACATCCACATCCACATCTCCTACAGCACACCATACCATACCACGCCACGCCACGCCATGCCACACAACATCCACATCCACATCCACATCCACACCACATCTCCGACAGCACACCATACAATACCACGCCACGCCACGCCATGCCACACAACATCCACATCCACATCCACATCCACACCACATCTCCGACAGCACACCATACAATACCACGCCACGCCACACAACATCCACATCCACACCACATCCCTGCACAACATACCATACCATACCACGCCACACCACATCCACATCCACACCACATCTCCCACAGCAGACCATACCACGCCATGCCACACAACATCCACACCACATCTCCCACAGCAGACCATACCACGCCATGCCACACAACATCCACATCCACACCACATCCCTCCCCAGCACACCATACCATACCATACCATGCCACGCCACACCACACCACACCACACCACACCACATCCACACCACATCCCTCCCCAGCACACCACGCCACGCCACGCCACGCCACGCCACACCACACCACACCACACCACATCCACATCCACACCACATCCCTCCAAAGCACACCATGCCACACCATCCACATCCACATCCACATCCCTCCACTCCACACCACACCACACCACACCACACCACACAACATCCACACCACACCACACCACACCACACCACACCACACCACACCACACCACACCACATCCACACCACACAACATCCACACCACACCACACCACACCACACCACACCACACCACACAACATCCACACCACACCACACCACACCACACCACACCACACCACACCACACCACACCACATCCACACCACACCACACCACACCACACCACACCACACCACACCACACCACACCACACCACACAACATCCACACCACACCACACCACACCACACCACACAACATCCACACCACACCACACCACACCACACCACACCACACCACACCACACCACACCACACAACATCCACACCACACCACACCACACCACAGCACACCACACCACACCACACCACACCACACCACATCCACACCACATCCACACCACACCACACCACACCACACACCACACCACACCACACCACACCACACCACACCACACCACACAACATCCACACTACATCCACGCCACGCCGCGCCACACCACACCACACACATCCACATCCACACTCACAACCCCATCCACATTAATACCACACCCACATCCACCCAAACACATATATATTTGCTTATCCATAGCAGATGGTCTGATACAGTTGTGATTTTGTGTTGCAGCGGAAGAGATTGAGAAGCTGAAGAAGGAGCTGACTGAGGTACATGCTGAGAGAGACAGACTGATCGAGATCATCCGAAATGCAGGTGAGGCCAGTTTGTCATCTAACTAGTGTTGAATGACTTCCACAACCGTGACCAATCACCAACCGATTCATTTCTCCCATACAACCGAGCAATGATTGATCTTCACTTTCATACCTCTGACCAAAGGATAAATCAATTCTTCAATACAACTGACTATGGGTGGAAATCTTTCAACATGGATCCAATGAAATACTGACACACTGTGATATAACTGAAATACTGACTCACTATGTTATAACTGAAATACTGACTCACGATGGTATAACTGAAATACTGACATGACGTGATATAACTGAAATACTGACATGCTGTGGTATAACTGAAATACTGACATGCCATGATATAACTGAAATACTGACTCACCATGGTATAACTGAAATACTGACTCACGATGGTATAACTGAAATACTGACATGACGTGGTATAACTGAAATACTGACACACTGTGATATACCTGAAATACTGACTTGCTGTGGTATAACTGAAATACTGACATGCCATGATATAACTGAAATATTGACACACCGTGGTATAACTGAAATACTGACACTGTGATATACCTGAAATACTGACACACCGTGGTATAACTGAAATACTGACATGCCATGGTATAACTGAAATATTGACACACCGTGGTATAACTGAAATACTGACACTGTGATATACCTAAAATACTGACATGCCGTGGTATAACTGAAATACTGACATGCTGTGGTATAACTGAAATACTGACACACCGTGGTATAACTGAAATACTGACACACTGTGATATACCTGAAATACTGACATGTCATGGTATAACTGAAATACTGACACACGATGGTATAACTGAAATACTGACATGCTGTGGTATAACTGAAATACTGACACACCGTTGTATAACTGAAATACTGACACACTGTGGTATAACTGAAATACTGACACACTGTGATATACCTGAAATACTGACATGTCATGGTATAACTGAAATACTGACACACGATGGTATAACTGAAATACTGACATGCTGTGGTATAACTGAAATACTGACAAGCTCTGATAGACCTGAAATACTGACATGCTGTGGTATAACTGAAATACGGACACTCCATGTTATAACTGAAATACTGACACACTGTGATTTAACTGAAATACTGACATGCTGTGGTATAATTGAAATACTGACTCACTGTGATATAACTGAAATACTGACACACTGTGATATAACTGAAATACTGACACTGTGATATAACTGAAATACTGACATGCCGTGATATAACTGAAATACTGACACTCCATGTTATAACTGAAATACTGACACACTGTGATTTAACTGAAATACTGACATGCTGTGGTATAACTGAAATACTGACACACAGTGGTATAACTGAAATACTGACACTGTGATACAACTGAAATACTGACACTGTGATATACCTGAAATACTGACATGCCGTGATATAACTGAAATACTGACACACCATGGTATAACTGAAATACTGACACACTGTGATATAACTGAAATACTGACATGCTGTGGTATAACTGAAATACTGACACACTGAGGTATAACTGAAATACTGACACACTGAGGTATACCTGAAATACTGACATGTCATTGTATAACTGAAATACTGACACACCATGTTATAACTGAAATACTATCACACTGTGATATAACTGAAATACTGACATGCTGTGGTATAACTGAAATACTGACACACCATGTTATAACTGAAATACTATCACACTGTGATATAACTGAAATACTGACATGCTGTGGTATAACTGAAATACTGACACACCGTGGTATAACTGAAATGCTTACACACTGTGATATACCTGAAATACTGACACACCGTGGTATAACTGAAATACTGACACACCGTGGTATAACTGAAATACTGACACACCGTGGTATGACTGAAATACTGACATGTTGTGGTATAACTGAAATACTGACATGCCATGATATACCTGAAATACTGACTCACCATGGTATAACTGAAATACTGACACACCGTGGTATAACTGAAATACTGACACACTGTGATATACCTGAAATACTGACATACCGTGGTATAACTGAAATACTGACACACCGTGGTATAACTGAAATACTGACACACCTAGTATAACTGAAATGCTTACACACTGTGATATACCTGAAATACTGACACACAATGATATACCTGAAATACTGACACACCGTGGTATAACTGAAATACTGACACACCGTGGTATAACTGAAATATTGACATGCTGTGGTATTACAGAAATACTGACACACTGTGATATACCTGAAATACTGACATGTCATGGTATAACTGAAATACTGACACACGATGGTATAACTGAAATACTGACATGCTGTGGTATAACTGAAATACTGACAAGCTCTGATAGACCTGAAATACTGACATGCTGTGGTATAACTGAAATACGGACACTCCATGTTATAACTGAAATACTGACACACTGTGATTTAACTGAAATACTGACATGCTGTGGTATAACTGAAATACTGACACACTGTGATATAACTGAAATACTGACACACTGTGATATAACTGAAATACTGACACTGTGATATAACTGAAATACTGACACACCGTGATATAACTGAAATACTGACACTCCATGTTATAACTGAAATACTGACACACTGTGATTTAACTGAAATACTGACATGCTGTGGTATAACTGAAATACTGACACACAGTGGTATAACTGAAATACTGACACTGTGATACAACTGAAATACTGACACTGTGATATACCTGAAATACTGACATGCCGTGATATAACTGAAATACTGACACACCATGGTATAACTGAAATACTGACACACTGTGATATAACTGAAATACTGACATGCTGTGGTATAACTGAAATACTGACACACTGAGGTATAACTGAAATACTGACACACTGAGGTATACCTGAAATACTGACATGTCATTGTATAACTGAAATACTGACACACCATGTTATAACTGAAATACTATCACACTGTGATATAACTGAAATACTGACATGCTGTGGTATAACTGAAATACTGACACACCATGTTATAACTGAAATACTATCACACTGTGATATAACTGAAATACTGACATGCTGTGGTATAACTGAAATACTGACACACCGTGGTATAACTGAAATGCTTACACACTGTGATATACCTGAAATACTGACACACCGTGGTATAACTGAAATACTGACACACCGTGGTATAACTGAAATACTGACACACCGTGGTATGACTGAAATACTGACATGTTGTGGTATAACTGAAATACTGACATGCCATGATATACCTGAAATACTGACTCACCATGGTATAACTGAAATACTGACACACCGTGGTATAACTGAAATACTGACACACTGTGATATACCTGAAATACTGACATACCGTGGTATAACTGAAATACTGACACACCGTGGTATAACTGAAATACTGACACACCTAGTATAACTGAAATGCTTACACACTGTGATATACCTGAAATACTGACACACAATGATATACCTGAAATACTGACACACCGTGGTATAACTGAAATACTGACACACCGTGGTATAACTGAAATATTGACATGCTGTGGTATTACTGAAATACTGACATGCCATGATATACCTGAAATACAGACATGTCATGGTATAACTGAAATACTGACACACCGTGGTATAACTGAAATACTGACACACCGTGGTATAACTGAAATACTGACACAACGTGGTATAACTGAAATACTGACATGTGGTGGTATAACTGAAATACTGACATGCCATGATATACCTGAAATACTGACACACCGTGGTATAACTGAAATACTGACACACCGTGGTATAACTGAAATACTGGGTACTATGATATACCTGAAATACTGACATGCCATGGTATACCTGAAATACTGACACACTGATATAACTGAAATACTGTTCCGACTCGGGACACTGAATAAGCGTCCTGAAAATAGGATATATACTGCTCAAAAGAAGACCCAATTTTTTCTTATTGCAGTAGTTAATCAGTCATGGTATGACAGAATCGGGTAGAATTTTAAGTAGTAGAATATATCTGTATCATATGGCAATACAATTTGACATGAATAGTCTTCCCAAGTACTCTCAATCTCACTTACTGTTGCAGGTCTGTCAGCAATGCAGGACCCGTCCTACCAGTGGAAGTCCCGCAACCAGAGCAAGCCAGACAGCACGGCCACATCCATGGACTGTGAACCCAGCTGCTCATCCGTGCCCAGCGACACCTTCGTCCCCGACATCAGCTCCTCCTCCTCCCAGAAAGATGACGAGTCCAAGTTGGCTAAGTGCAAGAGGAAGAATACAGTGAGCTTCCAACTAGAGCAGACCAAGCTTCAGCAGCAACAGTTTCAGGAGGCAGCGGCAGCGCAGGCCATGGCAGGAGCGATGTTTGGACCTGGCTTCATGGGCAATGGAGGAATGCCTCTGATGAACCAGATGTTCCCTGGGCTTGGGCAGCAGGTGCTTGCCAACCAGAACCTGCTGATGAACTCTGGATTTGCTAATCCAGGAACTGTTGTGATGAACGGGAATGGACAAATGATTCTACCCATGTCCTCTGCAGGAACTGGATCTGGTGTTGGCAGCGGTGGAGTTCAGCCGCCTGGGATGATATTTCAAGGAGACAGAAACATGGCTGCTAATGGGTTGGGCTTGTTGCAACTTGCCATGCAGGATGCCGGAATTGGACCAGCCCAGTCGGATAATTCTCGTCAGCCCAGCCCTGTTGGTTCCACGTCATCTGATGTCCTCCACCAATCAAAACCTGTGTCGGCGAGTTCATCCGGTAGTGACACACCAAATTCAGTGTCAGGTTCGACAGATGATATAAATTCCGCTTCAGCCTTACAGACATTGGCCTCCGTGGCCTCGAATACTCAGAGCGCCGCAGTGTGCTCTGTGATGTCGGGGATGCCCCAGGTTCCAGCCTCGGTGGTCAGTCAGACCTCGGTGGGCGTCACAAACACGTCTGCGGTGAACTCTGTGATGTCCATGGGTCAGCAGGCCAACTATTCACAGTTGATGCAGCAAGGGAACATGGTTGTAAATATGCCCCTCATGAACCCTGGTCAACCTAGTGCTCCAGGCATGTTTCAGAATGGTGCTTTAGGGGGATATGGAATGGGGAACTTTGTGATAAACCAGAACGGTCAGATGATAGTGATAAATGAACAAGGCATGCCGGTGATGCCAGGCATGCAGCCCAGTGACCAACAGCAGCCACAGCCAACACCACAGCATTTGTTGCAGCAACACCAGCAGCAGCAACAACAGCAGCAGCAGCCGCAGCAACAGCCTGCTCCAACAAGCAAACCTGCTCCCGAGAAGTCGAAAAGTTCCAAGAAATCAAAACCAAGCACCTCCATGTCAAACAGTGCCTCAGTAATATTACCAAGTGCTCAAGAACAAACCGATACTGGTGCTATGAACATTGCCATAGTGTCCAGTAAATCGGAGCCGATTGTCAATAGTGCTAATACAATAACAGTGACTGCCTCCCAAACCCAGCCGTCGGTCATGCCCCCTAACCTGTCCCAACAGCAGAATCCCATGACAATGTTTGCCCAACAGAACCCCATGTTACAACCCCAAGGCCTCCAGCCCATGGCCCTTCAAGGTCAACCCCAGGTGTCCCTGCCTTCCGGCCAGAACGTCTACCAACAACAACTGAACAGTCAGTTGGCCATGAACCAGCAAGTCATCCAGAATCCAGGTCTGGCTATGCCGGTCAGCCAGAATGGGAACCTGTTGACTTTGAACACCATGCCAAGTCAGCCGAATCAGCTCCCAACAGCTCTCATCCTCCCTAACGGTCAAATAATCCCTGTTGTGACCAATGCCCAGACTGTCAATCCACAGGCTCAGTCGGTGAATGGGAACGTGCAGGTGCTGTCCAATACAGGTGCCCCTTCTTTTCAGTACCCTCAGATGCAGCCGAGGCCCGGAGTGCCCAATACACTGTTGGGGATTGACCCTAACAACCCTGCCGCTGGGGCTCCAATGATAATCGGGCCTAATGGACAAATTCAACAGACTCCTCAGCAACAGCTTCAGCAACAGCAGCAGCAGCAGCTGCTGCAGCAGCAAATTCAGTTACAGCTCCAGCAGCAACAACAGAACATGGGCTTGCTTCTTACCACCACTGCATCGTCTCAAGTCGCTCAGAATCCAGTCTACAACTGTGCCACTTTAAGCACAAGTGTCGTTCCAACGTCTTCAACCCAGAGTGTAATGAGCACACAAGTGCAAGCCTCGGGCACAGCGTCTAATGTTGTACAGACTGCTAACTCCATGTCAAACCCTCAAGAAGTTGTGTCCAACACGTGCAGTGTGATGAGCGGGCAGGAGTTTGATCCCGGGAGTAAAGGTGGTAGTGATACAGTGAAGTCTCTGACCCCATCGGTGCCGCCCATTGCTCATACAGGCGTCCCTACTGCTGCTACTAATGCCACTCCACAGGGCCTTGTTCTGAACCAGACACAAACCGGGCCTCAAGCTCCAGTGCTACTGTCAGTGCCTATGAACGGCCAGCAAATGAACGTCTTAATAGATCCTGTCACAATGCAAGTGCTTGCAACGGTCGCGCCAAACCAAAATCAGGCTCCTGCTGCTGCAACAACAGCTCCCCTAACCAACACCACTGCTTCAACACCTCCATCTTCAGCGGGGAAGAAATCTGGGAAAAAGAACCAGAGAGCAATTTTCCCCAAACCATCCAGCACCTCGAGCAAAGTCACTTCAACGGCCTTACCAACAGAAACTGCCGCTCCACCCCCGTTGACATCAGCATCACCACTACCAAGCACCCCCGCGTCCCTCCCCGAAGGTGCCCTGTCCCAGCCAACAATGGCAGTGACAAGTACAACCTTCTCCGAATCAAAGGCTAACTTCTCCAGCACAAGCACAGAGGCATCAACGACGTCCGTCAGTGCTGCAGAGGCTGCTGCTGCTGCCGCCACGGACATCCTAGCCAAGGCTGCAGAATCCATCTTTTCCCCCTCCCCATCCGAGATCTCTCCTGGTCCAAGTTTTTATAATCCCGCCAATGAGGACAATCCGCTCCACATTGACACCAGTGTGGGGGATGGTGATGAGGACAGTAGTACCGTGTCCCCTGTGAAAGCCACTCATGACCCACAAAGCACCCCCAGCAAGGACACTGAGATGGCCCCGCCCCAGGTTGTGCTCCCCGTGCAGAAGGTTAGTATTGTTTATTGATAAAATATTGAATGTCGTGATTGAAAAGTATCAGGTGAGCTACAAAACCTCATAGCTCATTTTTTGGTAAGAAAGTGTCACAATCTTTGTCGTTACCATTCCAAGTCAGAAGGAGGCATGGGTGGCCCAGTCTAAGGTGCCACAATTCACTGTGTAGACTTCCCTCACTCCAGAAAACTGTGATTATGGGTTCGAATCCCGGATTATTTGTCAGCACCAAACTGGTGCTGTTGATTTCATCAAAGTGGTAAACGTCTGAGACCTGCATCACTTCAGGCTTACCTACCAAATCAAGATGACAAGCCATGATATAAATGTAATACTGTTCAAAGCGGCATTAAACTCACCCACTCATTAAGTTAATGCTTATGTAGACCTGAAATGCCTTCTCTCTATACTGCAGGTCACCATGTTATATAGGTGTCATATTGACGACTGCAGGTCACCATGTTATATAGGTGTCATACTGACGACTGCAGGTCACCATGTTATATAGGTGTCATACTGACGACTGCAGGTCACCATGTTATATAGGTGTCATATTGACGACTGCAGGCCACCATGTTATATAGGTGTCATACTGACGACTGCAGGCCACCATGTTATATAGGTGTCATACTGATGACTGCAGGCCACCATGTTATATAGGTGTCATACTGATGACTGCAGGCCACCAGGTTATATAGGTGTCATACTGATGACTGCAGGTCACCATGTTATATAGGTGTCATTCTGATGACTGCAGGTCACCATGTTATATAGGTGTCATACTGATGACTGCAGGCCACCGTGTTATAAAGGTGTCTACTAATGACTGCAGGTCACCATTTTATATAGGTGTGATACTGATGACTGCAGGTCACCATGTTATATAGGTGTCATACTGTTGACTGCAGGTCACCGTGTTATATAGGTGTCATACTGATGACTGCAGGTCACCGTGTTATATAGGTGTGATACTGATGACTGCAGGCCACCATGTTATATCGGTGTCATACTGATGACTGCAGGCCACCATGTTATATAGGTGTGATACTGATGACTGCAGGTCACCATGTTATATAGGTGTCATACTGATGACTGCAGGCCACCATGTTATATAGGTGTCATACTGATGACTGCAGGCCACCAGGTTATATAGGTGTGATACTGATGACTGCAGGCCGCCATGTTATATAGGTGCCATATTGATGACTGCAGGCCACCATGTTATATAGGTGTCATACTGATGACTGCAGGCAACCATGTTATATAGGTGTGATACTGATGACTGCAGGTCACCGTATTATATAGGTGTCATACTGATGACTGCAGGTCACCGTGTTATATAGGTGTCATACTGATGACTGCAGGCCACCATGTTATATAGGTGTGATACTGATGACTGCAGGTCACCATGTTATATAGGTGTCATACTGATGACTGCAGGCCACTATGTTATATAGGTGTCATACTGATGACTGCAGGCCACCATGTTATATAGGTGTGATACTGATGACTGCAGGCCACCATGTTATATAGGTGCCATATTGATGACTGCAGGCCACCATGTTATATAGGTGTCATACTGATGACTGCAGGCAACCATGTTATATAGGTGTGATACTGATGACTGCAGGTCACCGTGTTATATAGGTGTCATACTGATGACTGCAGGTCACCGTGTTATATAGGTGTCATACTGATGACTGCAGGCCACCATGTTATATAGGTGTGATACTGATGACTGCAGGTCACCATGTTATATAGGTGTCATACTAATGACTGCAGGCCACCATGTTATATAGGTGTCATACTGATGACTGCAGGCCGCCATGTTATATAGGTGTCATACTGATGACTGCAGGCCGCCATGTTATATAGGTGCCATATTGATGACTGCAGGCCACCATGTTATATAGGTGTCATACTGATGACTGCAGGCAACCATGTTATATAGGTGTGATACTGATGACTGCAGGTCACCGTGTTATATAGGTGTCATACTGATGACTGCAGGTCACCGTGTTATATAGGTGTCATACTGATGACTGCAGGCCACCATGTTATATAGGTGTCATACTGACGACTGCAGGTCACCATGTTATATAGGTGTCATACTGACGACTGCAGGTCACCATGTTATATAGGTGTCATATTGACGACTGCAGGCCACCATGTTATATAGGTGTCATTCTGATGACTGCAGGTCAGCATGTTATATAGGTGTCATACTGATGACTGCAGGCCACCATGTTATATAGGTGTCATACTGATGACTGCAGGCCACCATGTTATATAGGTGTCATACTGATGACTGCAGGCCACCATGTTATATAGGTGTCATACTGATGACTGCAGGTCACCATGTTATATAGGTGTCATACTGATGACTGCAGGCCGCCATGTTATATCGGTGTCATACTGATGACTGCAGGCAACCATGTTATATAGGTGTCATACTGATGACTGCAGGTCACCGTGTTATATAGGTGTCATACTGATGACTGCAGGTCACCGTGTTATATAGGTGTCATACTGATGACTGCAGGCCACCATGTTATATAGGTGTGATACTGATGACTGCAGGTCACCGTGTTATATAGGTGTCATAGTGATTACTGCAGGTCACCGTGTTATATAGGTGTCATACTGATGACTGCAGGCCACCATGTTATATAGGTGTCATACTGATGACTGCAGGTCACCATGTTATATAGGTGTCATACTGACGACTGCAGGTCACAATGTTATATAGGTGTCATATTGACGACTGCAGGCCACCATGTTATATAGGTGTCATTCTGATGACTGCAGGTCAGCATGTTATATAGGTGTCATACTGATGACTGCATGCCACCGTGTTATAAAGGTGTCTACTAATGACTGCAGGTCACCATTTTATATAGGTGTCATATTGACGACTGCAGGCCACCATGTTATATAGGTGTCATACTGATGACTGCAGGTCAGCATGTTATATAGGTGTCATATTGATGACTACAGGCCACCATGTTATATAGGTGTCATACTGATGACTGCAGGTCACCATTTTATATAGGTGTCATATTGACGACTGCAGGCCACCATGTTATATAGGTGTCATTCTGATGACTGCAGGCCACCATGTTATATAGGTGTGATACTGATGACTGCAGGTCACCATGTTATATAGGTGTCATACTGATGACTGCAGGCCACCATGTTATATAGGTTTCATACTGATGACTGCAGGTCAGCATGTTATATAGGTGTCATACTGATGACTGCAGGTCAGCATGTTATATAGGTGTCATATTGATGACTACAGGCCACCATGTTATATAGGTGTCATACTGATGACTGCAGGTCACCATTTTATATAGGTGTCATATTGACGACTGCAGGCCACCATGTTATATAGGTGTCATTCTGATGACTGCAGGCCACCATGTTATATAGGTGTGATACTGATGACTGCAGGTCACCGTGTTATATAGGTGTCATACTGATGACTGCAGGCCACCATGTTATATAGGTTTCATACTGATGACTGCAGGTCACCATGTTATATAGGTGTGATACTGATGACTGCAGGTCACCATGTTATATAGGTGTCATACTGATGACTGCAGGCCACCATGTTATATAGGTGTCATACTGATGACTGCAGGCCACCAGGTGATATAGATGTGATACTGATGACTGCAGGCCGCCATGTTATATAGGTGCCATATTGATGACTGCAGGCCACCATGTTATATAGGTGTCATACTGATGACTGCAGGCAACCATGTTATATAGGTGTGATACTGATGACTGCAGGTCACCGTATTATATAGGTGTCATACTGATGACTGCAGGTCACCGTGTTATATAGGTGTCATACTGATGACTGCAGGCCACCATGTTATATAGGTGTGATACTGAAGACTGCAGGTCACCATGTTATATAGGTGTCATACTGATGACTGCAGGCCACCATGTTATATAGGTGTCATACTGATGACTGCAGGCCACCATGTTATATAGGTGTCATTCTGATGACTGCAGGCCGCCATGTTATATAGGTGCCATATTGATGACTGCAGGCCACCATGTTATATAGGTGTGATACTGATGACTGCAGGCCGTCATGTTATATAGGTGCCATATTGATAACTGCAGGCCACCATGTTAAAAATGTGTCATACTGATGACTGCAGGCCACCATGTTATATAGGTGTGATACTGATGACTGCAGGTCACCGTGTTATATAGGTGTCATACTGATGACTGCAGGTCACCGTGTTATATAGGTGTCATATTGATGACTGCAGGTCACCATGTGATACAGGTGTCATACTAATGACTGCAGGCCACCATGTTATATATATATGTCATATTGATGACTGCCTTTCACCATGTTATATAGGTGTTATACTGATGACTGCAGGCCACCATGTTATATAGGTGTGATACTGATCACTGCAGGTCACCATGTTATATAGGTGTCATACTGATGACTGCAGGCCACCATGTTATATCGGTGTCATACTGATGACTGCAGGCCACCAGGTGATATAGGTGTGATACTGATGACTGCAGGCCGCCATGTTATATAGGTGCCATATTGATGACTGCAGGCCGCCATGTTATATAGGTGCCATATTGATGACTGCAGGCCACCATGTTATATAGGTGTGATACTGATGACTGCAGGTCACCGTGTTATATAGGTGTCATAGTGATTACTGCAGGTCACCGTGTTATATAGGTGTCATACTGATGACTGCAGGCCACCATGTTATATAGGTGTCATACTGACGACTGCAGGTCACCATGTTATATAGGTGTCATACTGACGACTGCAGGTCACAATGTTATATAGGTGTCATATTGACGACTGCAGGCCACCATGTTATATAGGTGTCATTCTGATGACTGCAGGTCAGCATGTTATATAGGTGTCATACTGATGACTGCATGCCACCGTGTTATAAAGGTGTCTACTAATGACTGCAGGTCACCATTTTATATAGGTG